TTTCCAAGGCTGTAAATCTTTACCAATGCAGACTGCCTCATCATTCTCCCAAAGAGCAGGTGGTGGGTTCAAACAGCCGACCTTTTAGTTAGCAGCTGAATGCTTTAACCACTGCACCACCAGAGCTCCTTACTCTTCTCAGACTCAAAACCCCTTCCCCCTGAAGAGCACTATGCTTTCCAACTGTTTTTATCAGTAATCTCACTTAATCCCACAAGTATTATAACAAACCTGCTTTTACAGAAGAGATTCCATGACTGGTCCAAGGTCAAACTCATAGTAAGAAGGGTCCACACAAACCTAAGTCTCTCAACAATTAAGTCCAGGACCTATCTCTTTGCGAACAAACGAAGAGATGACAAAGACCACTAATATTCTTTCAAAAGGCCATCACTGAAACATGCAAGTACATTCAGCACTTCACTGCTACACGTGCTGAGCAAAGGTCAGTGTCCACCTTTTCCAAAAGAACTTAACAAAATAATTCAGAAACCACAGAAAAATACAGCTGCAACATTCATCGCAGGATTGCTGCCAGCAGAGAAAAGATGGAAACAACCATTCATCAAAAGGGACTCGTTAAATAAAATGAAGTTATAGAAAATAAGTTTTAAAGCATAGATGCATTTTAAATGTATTAAGTGAAAAGAGTGTGTTTACAAAATTGCTCAATGTGATTGTTTTTGTAAAAAAAAAAAAGGGAGAGGGCGGAGAGAAGATGGGGAAAAAATGAACAAAGATTGGACAGATACAAACCAAATGGTTAGCAAATGATGAGGCAGGATGAGGCAGGATGGACCCAGCTTCATCCCAACAAAATTTAGAGAGTGAAAAATCCCACTGCCCATACTCCCCCTTGCTTCCTCCCATGACCAGCCTCCTGGATATCCTTACCTACACATTTCAGCCAACCCATACCCCCTTCCCATCTCCCTGTTTGTTCCCTGTGTAAGCTTTTTCTGTTCTGTAACACTGCTGGCTCGTGTCCTTGAAAACAACCAACCACTCTTTTATCCCAAAGACCCCAGAAGAAGAGCCCCATAAAAGCCCCATGTAGCCTTTGTTCGGGGCTCAGGATGCGAATCCACTGAGCCCAGGTACCAGTCAATAAAGTCTTTCCTTTGCATCATCCTCCTTGGCGTTAGCGTTTCTCTCAGCAGCTCCGGTAACAATGAGATTGGACAGTGATTCTTATTTCCACTTTTATGCTTATCCAGCTTATTCTAAATTTGGGACATAGAATAATTTTATCAAAAGAAAAAAGTTAATTTGGCAAAAACGTAACTTTTTTATTTTTATTCTGATCTGGGTAAGAGTTTACAGAGTCAATTCATTTTCCATGCAGCAGTTTATACACATTTTGTTTCATGACATTGACTGCAATTCCCCACAATGTAACAGCTTTCTTCCCACTTCCTCCCTGTGGTTACTTTTTCCGTGTCCTTCTTTCCTATATATTCCTGCCCCCTGAGCTATGTCCCTGTGCAAACACTGCCCTTCTGTTCTCCCGTGACTGATCTTCCCAAGGAGTGTATCTACCTGATATAAATTTTCACCCTATATGCCTATCTAAGGAGCTCTGGTGGTGTTAAGGCCTAAGTCATATGCCTGCTAATCAGAAGATTGGCTGTTCAAATCCACCAGCTGTTCCCTGGAAAAACGATGGGGTAATCTACTTCCATAAAGATGTACTGCCTCAGAAACCCAATGGGGGTCACTACGAATCAACTCGATGGCAGTGAATTTGGTTTATGCACCTATTGTTTGACTGGAAGCCACAGGTGTGAGTTCAATCTTAACCACTTTCTTCCAGTCCCTACAAACTCCTCAGAAGGAAGAGTGAGCAATCTACTTCCATAGTGATACTGCCTCAGAAACCCAAGGAAGGGTCACTATGAGTCGGATCCGACTCCATGGCAGTGGTTGCGTTTTGCATTTTTACAATAATCTTAAGACTTAACAAAGTTGCATTGGGGTAAATTGTAGTCAATGTCATGAGACAAAGTGTATGTGAACTGCTGTATGGAAAGTGAATTTGCTCTGTACACTTTTTCACCCAAAGCACATTTTGAAAAAAAAAAAAAATAAAACCTTAACAAAGAATCTGTCCCTCCTTCACTAAGAGTGGAGAGGGTCTAATTCAAGTGAACAACTCTTTACCCAAATATGAAGATCAGTTCTTAGACCCCTGGAAGTTAAAAGTACAGTAAAACCTGTGAAAGTCGGAATCTGTGTAAAGCGGAAACTTGTCAGATTAGAAAAATGCAAATATTTTCCACTAGAACAAGCGATAGAAAAGTGATAAGACTGCACCCTGTCAAAAGTGGAAAACTAGTAACAGCCAGAAAAACAAGGCAGTCCTGTCAAGTTCCAGCTCTAACAGGTTTTGCTCTATATCTGCAAAAAAATTATCAAACAATCTCATACCCTGCAGGAAAGAGGAAAAAAGAACAAGACTAAATCAATGGCTCCCAATGTAGAGTCTTCCAAAATCTGAATCTTCAGCAAGGAGGAGCTATTTTTATTATTTTTCAAAGCCAGTATATGTGAATTATTCATTTACCTGCGGTAAGGATGGACAAATTTAACCCTACTGTCCAGTGCCTTTGCTTTTGATTAAAAAAAAAAAAAAAAAAAACTCATTGCCAAGTTGATTCCAATTCATGGTGACCCTAAACGACAGAGTTGCCCCATAGAGTTTCCAAGACTGTAAATCTTTACAGAAACAGACTGCTTCATCTTTCTCCCCAGCGGGTTCAAACCATAGCCCTTTTGTTTAGCAGCCAAGGGTTTAACCACTGCACCACAAGGGCTCCTTCACTTTTGATTAGAACCATTTCATACACCATGGTGAAGTGAGAAGTGTTTTGAGGCCAGGTCAAATCCTGGCTTGACACCTGGAGACTGACCTGAGACAAGAAAGCTGACCTCTGTATAAGACTTCCCAGAAACCCTCACAGGTAGTGGTGAGAATTTGAGCTCTTTGCAAGTTTCAGCACTGGCTGGCAAGCTAACCTTCAGTTTTCTCTTCTGAAAAGAGTAGAACGTCCTACAATTGCTCATTTTTCACTGAGAGGAAAAGCCACAGTCCTTACAATGATCTGTAAGACCTACTGGGCCCTCTCCTTTTCCCTCCATCCACTCCAGCCTGACCTGCCTCCTCAAACACGGAAATCACAGGGCCTGCACCCTTGCTGTTCACCCTGCCTGAATCAGTCTATCCCGGGCATCCACTTGGCCACCTCTCCCCTCCAAGTCTTTGCTCAAAGATCACCCTCTCAATAAGGCCCACCTCGGCCACCCTGCAACCAATTCTCATTCCCCAACTCAAATCTCCCACTCCCTCACTCTTTGGTCTTTTGTCTATGGCATATTCACCCTCTAACACGCTGCATAATTTACTTATTTCATATATTGTTTATTTTCGATCCCCTGCAACCGCCCCGCGCACGCTCCGGGAAAGATGTGATTTCGGCCTTGTTTACTCATCAACAAGCGTCAGAACAGCACACACACACCTAGGGAGTGAGTCCGGCACTCAGTAGGCCCGCCCCCATTGGAACACACAGTTTTGTGCGCTTTTGACTAAACAACTAGAAAAACGACTTAACCAGATCGTATGGTGGAGTTTGGTCATTTATTAAAAAAAAAAACTAAATTTAGTTTGAAATGCCTAAAATCTGCAGCTCACACAAAATCCTTTAAAACTGTAAAGTCCGTGGATATTTAAACAAACACACTGTACACCCCCCAAAAAACTTTTTGTTATTGTTGAAAGATTGGGAACCTCTAGACAGAAGTATACCAAGGTTTAGTGTCTGTGAATCAAAACAAAAAGAAAACGATGGGATTTCAGAACCTGCCCACCAGATGCACGGCGACCCCCGCCCTCCTGTCCGCGTCGCCCCGCGCCGGGCTTGCGCCCTCACCGTCTCTCCGAGGATGCCCTGGCTGCTCCTCCACTGGGAGGGCACCGACACCACGCCAAGGGTCTCATCTTGCAGCGGCCCTGGCCGCGCGGGCCCCTCGCCTCTCGCTGCCCCACCAGTCGCCAGTTCCTGAACCCCCGCGCTCTCCGCGGGACAGTCCTGCCCGGACTGATGGAGGGTTGCCATGGACACGGCTCCACCCACCCCCTCCTTGCGCAGGCGCACTCCATTGAGACCGTCGCGCCCTCCCCATGCGTCCTGGAACGCAAGACGGTCACGTGAGGCTGGCGGCGCCATTTTTTAATTGGCCACACGGCGCGTCTTTCATGGCCCGGAAGAAAGAGATGAGTAACACTTTTGGGCCATTTAGACAAGCTTGATCGCTTTTTGATACCCTGTTCCCATAAAGGTAATGTTTGGGGCAGGTTCGGATACTCCTTCGTGGAGAGGAGCGCGGGAGTAAGGCACTCGTGCCAGGCTCAAAGATGGCGCTGAGCCGCCATGCGCAGAGGCGAGGGCGGGAGGCTGCGGCCACCGCTGGCTGGTGAATGCTGGGCCCTTGGCGGGGCAGAGCGGTATACTGTTCCCTTCTGAACCGGGAAGCGCCCAACATCAGGTTGCTGCCGCCTGGAAGCCAACTGGTTCACCCATAGTCCTCAATTTTTCTCTCAATAAAATAGTGATTAAAATATTTATGTGGACTCCAAGTGTGGTTGAATACTTGAAGCCCAAATGAGGTCGTATAAAAAAAAAAATTGAATCATTGTTAAACTAATATGCAAGAACCGAAAAACTTCCAATTTTTGAATTACTGGTGAGGAGCTCTGGTGGCGCAGTGATTCAGGCACTGGGCTGCTAATCAAAAGGTCCGCTGTTTGATCACATTGTCCGCGGCAGAAAGATAAGCCGGTCAGCTTCCCTAAACACTTATAGCCCTGGAAACCCTGTGAGGATTGCTTTGAGTTGGAATCTACTCCATGACAGTGGGTTTGGGTTTTGGGGGGCTGCATATGGTTAAACCACTGGGCTGCTAACCAAAAACTGGTTCCAACCCAGCAGGCGCTCAGCAGGAGAAGGATGAGATAGTCTGCTTCCCTAAAGATTTACAGCTGTGAAAACCCTATAGGGCAGTTCTCCTTTGTTCTATAGGGTGGCTATGAGTCAGAATGACTCCATGGCAGTGGATTTATTGTATGTCAGGCAAAGAACCTAGAGCATTATTCATGATTATGTTATTAAATCCTCACAGTAATGCCATGAGAAAGCAACTAATATGTATATGTCACATGACAGTGCTGATGGTCTGAGAAGTAACAATTTGTAAGTACCCGCTAAAGTTGAAGTCACATTTCCCTAAGACACCACAGAAGAGTTGCCTGACTCCAAAGCCGAGTTCAGAGCCTCTCAGTAGAAACCCTAGCCAGGTCCTCTGAACTGTCAAGGATGAACTCTAGGATGGAAACCTGCCCAGTTGGGGGCCCCTCAGCACCACCCTGCCAGAGTTTCCTCATTAGGACCCTGTTGCAGCCAAGGCCAAGAGGACTGATTAGATTAGCAACATTGGAAAGAATGGAATGCAACAGAAATTTCTTTCTAGAAAGAAAGTAGAACTAGACAAAATTCTCCTTGTGAGCCCCTCTTAATCCTTGACAAACATCACTAAGGATTCCAAAAATCACACTCAAAAAAGAAGCTCAAAGCTGTGGGATTCCGGAAGCCTAAATTTGAAGCCTGGACAATGTTATGTCTTTTTTTTTTTTTTTTTTTTTTTTTTTTAACAAGCTTGGTACTTATCTAGGCCTTGGTTTTCTAGCTGAAAAATGAGGGTAATAAGACTAGACCTATTTTACCTAACCAAGAAAGGAGCTCATTTTGGGAAGAGAAGAGTGGTCCAAGGTGTTAAATGCCACAAACAGGTAAATAAAGATAAGGTCAGAAAAGCAATCACTGAAATTGACATTTTCAGTGATATCTGGTGGCTCATGAAGAGAACAATTTCACTGGAGTTGTTGTTGTTATGTGCTGTTGAGTCGGACCCGACTCACAGTGACCCGACTCACAGTGACCCCTCCTTGGGTTTCTGAGGTAGTATCACTATGAAAGTAGATTGCCCAACCTTCCTTCCAAGGAGTGGCTGGTGAGATTGAACCACCAGCCTTCTGGTTAGCAGTCAAGTGCCTTAGGCACTATGCTACCAGAGCTCCCTTCGCTGGAGTAGTGAGGACAACAGCTAGACTGCAGAGGGTTGAGGTAGAAAAAGTAATTGCCACTATTGGGAAGCTAAACACAGGAGTGTGAATGTAAATTGGTCAAACCTAGTTAAAGGGTAATTTAGCTTTAAAGTGTATCTGCTCTTTAATCTAGAAATCCCATTTCCAGAAATTTTTCCTGAGGCAATAGTTACAGACACACACAAAAACTGAGTCACCTCAAGGATATTCAGCAGTGTGTCATTAACAGTCGTATTGCTATTAACCCACTACCACCACTCATCTGTCAGTGTGTCATACTATGCTATGCTGTGAGGCTGGAAGCTATGCCACCAGTATTTCAAACACCAGCAGGGTTACCCACGGTTGACAGGTTTCAGTGGAGCTTCCAGACTAAGACAGACTAGGAAGAAAGAAGAGGCAGTTGTTCATGTCTGGACAAAATGGCCACGGAAAACCTTATAGATAGCAGTGAAACACTGTCTGATATAGTGTCAGAAGATGATCCCTTCCAATTGGACCGAGGAATATGACTTTGGTAAAAGCATTTGGCTGCTAACAAAAAGGTCAGTGGTTTGAATCCACCAGTCCCTTCATGGAAGAAAAATGAGGCAGTCTGCTTCTGTGAAGATTTACAGTCTTGGAAACCTACTGAGGGTTGCTATGAGTTGGAATTGACTCAATGGCAATTAGTTTGGTTTTGAGAGTTTTACCTCCATAAGGGTGCCAGGAGGAGCTCTGGTAGCGTAGTGCCTAAGGCACTTGACTGCTAACCAGAAGGCTGGTGGTTCAAACACACCAGCCACTCCTTGGAAGGAAGGTTGGGCAATCTACTTCTATAGTGATACTGCCTCGGAAACCCAAAGAGGGGTCACTATGAGTCAAGTCCGACTCCATGGCACAAAACAACAACAAGAGTGCCATGTACCTTACTGACAAGCTATCCTGTCCCCTTGGTAGGCCACAAGCACCTCACCTTTGAGTAGTTCTACCCAGTCCTCTGGAGGGAGTCACAAAGCCCATGGCTAGAAGAGGCTTACTAAGTAACTCACTGCACCACATTTTAGTGATAGAAATGATGCAGGAGATCACATGACAGAATTTTGCAAGGCCAACGACCTACCTATTCATTGCAACTACCTTTTTCAACAACATAAACAATGACTTATGTTGACCGACTAGATGGAATATGCAGGAATCCAGCCAACTACATCTATGGAAAGAGATCATGGAAAAGCTCAAAATCATGAATCAGAACAAGGCCAGGAGCTGACTGTGGAACAGACAGACCATCAAAATTGTTCCTGTGCAACTTTAAATTCATGCTGAAGACAATTAAAACAAGTCACAAGAGTCAAAATGTGCCTACAATACATTTCACCTGGAGTTAGAGACCATCTAAAGAATAAATTTGACCCATTGAACAGCAATGGCTGAAGACCAGATGAGTTATGGGATGACATCAAGGACATCATGCATGGAGAAAGAAAGGGCATTGAAAAGATGGGAAAGAAAAAAAGACCAAAATAGATGTTGAAGAGACTCTGAAACTTGCTCTTGAATGCTAAAGGGAATGGAGAAAATGATGAAGTAAAAGAGAAGAATGGAAGATTTAGAATGGGCAGCTCAAGAAAACAAAGTAAAGTATTACAATTAAATGTGCAAAGACTTAGAGTAAGAAAATCAAAAGGGAAAGACATCTTGGCATTTTTCAAGCTGAAAGAACTGAAGACAAAATTCAAGCCCTGAGTTGCAATATTGAAGAATTCCTCAGGCAAAATATAAAATGATGTGAGAAGCATCAAAAGATGGAAAGAATACATAGTCACTGTACCATAAAGATTGGTTAATAT